GTATGATCTTCTTGATGACCCTCTGTATTCTGTTTGCCAGTATCTTGCTGAGGATTTTTGCATCTATGTTCATCGGGGAGACTGGCCTTTAGTTCTCTTTTTGGGTTGGTTCTTTCCCTGGTTTTGGAATCAAAATAACACTTGCTTCCAGGAATATAAGTAGTTTCTTAACAAAAATAGCAAGCCTCAAGCCATACATCACTGGTCAGCTACTGTTTAGATTATTTATCTAAAATTTTATACTTACATTTTTACTAATATAACTACAGTTCAAACCCAATAGTAGTACTGCTTTGACTTTTCTTCCAAACTGAATATTGCAAAAATCAGGAAAGGTCAGTAAGAGGACCATAGAGTGGTACCTGGGTCTGCAACCAACCTAGAAAATAACACAAAAGTGCAGTGAAGAGCTGCCACATATAAAGAAAAGATAGTGTTTTCCTCTATCAAATCACTTCAAAATCAGTTTCAACATATAAAAATTTCCAAAAATCTACTTCTCCATGAAATACCCTTGTAAAATTTAGAATGTGACTAATATATTTATGTATCTTATGTGCTGGTTAATATGCAGAATAGGAAATCCAGAAAGTCTAACAGTTTGCACCTGAATCTGTTGCCTTCCAGGAGCAATAGAAGTGGCATAGTCAAAAAGGAGTAGGCAGATCTGACAAGATAAAATCTGTATGAGAACTAAAGAGGTAAAATAAAGATAATTTGGAAGATGGCATGAAAAAACACAAGGATTACTCTCTTTTTCATTATTAGAGGTTTAGTATCTCCTACTTCAAAAGCTTAGACTTAAAGTATTTCAGATTTTTTTCAGATTTCAAAATATTTGTATGTATGAAGAAAAACTACAGTGTATATTCAAATTTTTAAAAAGTTATTTCAGTAAAAGACAAATTGCTATGAAATCCCTTCAAAATACTCTACCTTTAAATATACTTGTCCTGTCATTCTTGCCACTTTGAGAAGCAGTTCTGGAAGTCTGCTTTCTTGTGCTTAGTTGCATTATTATGGCTGCCTCTAAGTCCTGAATCAATTCAATACATTCCCATTTAATGGTCATTCTGATTTTCAGGAGAAGCCAAAAGTCTCATAGTGCCACACCCTGGCGAGTAACGTGAATGAGGACACATCTTCGCGTTTTTACAACTCTGCTTTCCATGGATGACATTTGGCAGAAGACACTCATGAAAGAGGACTCCCAGAACTACTTCAAAAATGCCAAGATAGGATACATATGTTCAAGGTTGAAGCAATGGGGAGTATTTTGAGGGAGATTAATGGCACGGTATCTTTTACTGTAACAATTTTTAAAATTTAAACATGTGCTGTATATTTTGATCACACTTTATTTATATTAGGATGGAAATGAGACCCAGGTATAATAAGCATGAAATGATCTGTGTATCATATACATCTTATACCCATAGCTGGGAAGTAGTTTTATACAGTATTTTAAATAAATTTGCACATAAAATAAATTTTCATGGTGTGGAATATTCTACTTGTGTTTTCTTTTCCACACTCAAATTTTTGAATTTTGAACCATTTGGATTTCAGATTTTCAGATTAGAGAAGCTACACTTGTATTTTATTTCCTTTATTTGGTAAAAACTGACTGAGCATTTACTATTTTGCAAATAACAGCCCAAAAATGGTACAACTATTATGAAGGAATGTTAGCATAACAAAGATAAGTGATAAAAATGGGAAATTTCCAGGGTTTCCACAGGTACAGAATTTGTTTCTCAGGATTTAATTCTCAGGTTTGTAAGTCAACACATTCACTGTATGTAATATTCTGGTTTTTAAATTCAGTGTCATTAATGCTACTCTTTCTACATTAATGAGAAAAGGCATGAATAAATAAAAGGATTAATGTTGAACCTAATACTAGCAATGGCATCTCTCTTTACATCGGTCCAACTGGAATAGTTTTACCTAATGATATTACAAAAACAAATGAAGTTTCAAGATGATATGTAAAGAAGGATCATTATTTTTTTAAAAAATTGTGATGCAATTTCATTATTTTTTCTTTTCATTGTCTAAAAACAATACACATTAATCATATAACATATACATAACTCACAAAATAAAAGGAGGAAATAGGAAGAGATCAAATATAATGAAATTATTTTTATCAATCAAAATCCTTATTGTCAAAATGGCAATTTATACATCTTTAATACCACAAATATTTTCTTCCCAGTGTCAGCTATTATTCAGAAACTATTATTGAAGAATATTCGAGTTAACATCTTACCTGAGCAACCTGGATATAGTATTTTGGTGGTTTTACTGAAATTCCTTTTTGGTTTATTTTTTCTTATTAAATTATTTTATTGGTACA